ACGGAGTGAAACTCTGAAGCACTCGGTGTTCGGCGAGTGAAAATATATCTGCACTAAACTTATTTTTAGCCTCCAACTCACACACTGGCGAGTAACATCTGAGAATTTATTAGCCATTGGCTAATATTAGACATCATTTAGTCGCCCAGAGTGAAGATTTAGTTGCATATGCGAGTGATTTATTCGCAATGTAGAGGGTTGACTTTATATAAAATGGGAACATTATATGTAAAATTCACTTTAAAGAAGGTTTTTCATTTTAATTTATGGAAAATGTGCCATGCTTAAGATTTCTGACACCTGTTGGAAAACACTGAGAATGGAAATGTCAATTCCCTCTATAAGCAGTAGCACTCATTGGCTCATTCGTCCTTTCACTCTGTAATGCAGTCCTTTTGATGTGTTTTCCTTTTGGATTTATATTCAGACATTATAAAATTACTATTATAACATTTTAAAATGACTTTTTGTCAAAGTTCAGCACTGTTTTGTACTGATGTATGAAGTAGCAACTCATGGGATATACATGAATCTGACAATAGATCTATTTTGAATTCAAAACTGCGATTTTGGGCGAAAGGTTTCTAAACTGAACACCCATTCACAAACATAACGCAACTTTTTTTTTTTTTTTGAGAAACCGAGATACTCGGAAATGAACTGATATTATAATGTTAATCACTTTCACTTCTCAAGCAGCAACGTTAAATGTTGATTGATTTCATGACTTACAATGACAAAAATGATAGGTTAAGCTTGCCAATCTCTGTTTGTTCACTTGGACATTGCTGTCCTCATTTTAATGCTTTCATGTTGTCTTTTTCTGTTCTGCGCCCCAGAATCTTTCAGTCATGTGACTGTCTGACAGTAATATGTATTCACTTGATGATAAACTCAATTAAAATGTTAAACAACAGTTAAATAAAAATGTTTCTTTCATAGTTTTCAACAAATAAGCTTTAGATCATTTATAACCTTTCATTAATAAAGGAGATTTTCATGCCCCTGGTGACAGATTAGTCACTTTGGTGCATTCATAAGTTTTGTTTGAAGAACTGGTGACATTCAGTGTGTAAAAAAGCGAAGATATAGAAAATCAAACACACTTTCACAGCACTGTATAAATGATGCATCTGTGCTGGAAAACTGATCAGAACGGCAGCTTTCAAAACACTGAATAAAGCAGAGACAGACTGCAGGAAGATACTTTATTTGCTGATGTTCTGCTTCATTCAGATTCAATTTATGTCTAATTATTTCTGATCATCAGGCCTGTTTAAATACCACTACATTTCAAAAGGCAAAGAAATGCTATAACTAGGTAGGTTGTTTTGTTGATGAATTTGTATTACGTATGTGGTTAATTGTGACTGTAAATTTTTGTAAATGTGGAATTTTATTGTAATTGTTGTATTTATAATGCAGTGCCAGTGAACCTGTTACCAGGAGTGAAGTTTGTGCTTTACATCAAGGACCACAATGGAAATAAGTTTTGTTTTAAACTTTGTGTTATCTTTGACGAATAGAGTGTATTCACTACTTTTTTTGTCAAATAAACATAACATAACTCCAAACATAGTTTGCATGTTTATGCACATTTATCACTGACATGGTTGTGTTGATCCACTTCTGTGTTCATGAACAGAAAAAGAGTAACAAAACCCCAAACCCCAGAATCATTTTCAGACCTTTTAGGGGAATATTTGGTGAACTGTCCATGAAATATGAGGAATTCAGTCATAATTACGGAGTGACAGATTTTTACAAAGGCTCGTGATGTCTAAGATGAAGTGTCTGTAAACTGATGAGCCTCTAACATCCACAGGATTGTGACACGTGTTTAAAAACTCACAACAGTGTTATTTAACATTTCCTAACTAAGATTCTGTTTGATGTGATTCTGTTGTGGTGTGAGCGATTCTTCGTGACTCGTATCGTTAGGCTGAAGAATAAACAAACTCTTCTCTCTGAGCTGGGTTTTGTGTTTTGTGTGGATGTTTCGGGCTCCTGAGCTCCTCCTGAGTCACTGACATGCTGCAGAATCACAGAGGAGCTGAATGTCTTTCTAATGCTCAGTCAACAGACTTATATTCATCAAATTCAGGTATGATTTGCTTTGGGGAATCTCGAGATCTTCACATGATGACGCACTGAGTGGCTCCGCAGCAGTCCTTAATGAGGGCCGCGCTGCTCTTGCTGATGGAGGGTTTGTTGGCTGGAGGTTCAGTCGTTCTGGGCTTCGGAGCTCCTGCGGAGAGAAACCGCCGCTGCGTTGTAACATAAAATCATCTCAACTTTAACCCGTTTGCCACTGACCTCCAAAAAAAACAAAAAAGTCCAATGGTTGTCAGGAAACCAATCAGATGATGTGCTGCTATGTGAACGAGCCAGTATGAAAATCAGAACAAGACTGAAGAGAGAGACTACAGAGTTACAGTCACTGGGACTTTTTTCTGTTCTGAGCTCAAATATACATTTAGTTTCATCACTTTGTTCAGTGTTTACTGTGTGCACTTCATGCATGTTACCTAGCAACAGCCCAAACGTGACGCAGTGTGCACCGCCTGTCGTGTCATGAGTCGTGTGACAGAAACAGCACAGATCTCTCCCATAGAGGAATAAGAAACATGCACGTGAGAGACGGCTGTGAAAACTCTTACTCTGTGTAACGCTGAGCTTCTGTTGGAGGAACTCAGCCATCTCTTTATCTTCCTCCTGCTCCCTGATAGACAGAGACAACCAGAGAAATCTCACAGAAACTTTCATAAAGTCAATTTGATGACAAATGTCATCTCTTTCACCTCAGACGCTCGACCTCAGCATCATCCACCAGGAAATCTCTCTTCTGCACCAGCTGATGAATCTCCTGGATTAACTTCTCTTCTCTCTGACGATGTTTCTTAGTCTTCTCTGCATCTGTGCGTTAGATGAAAACACATGAATCCAATCTGAGACGTAACGCAGCAGTGTCTCAGGTCATATAAGCCTCACTCCATCCTTTGGCCGCTCACTCGCCTCTCGTTGGCTGGGTTTCCACTGAACTATTTTTATTACAAATGAATATGTGCTTATCAGTTACTGAATGGTTCATGCTGAGGTGGATTTTCTTTGGTTTCATATAATGACATGTAATCTATGTAGTTGATGAAAACGCACAATGTTTCGCATTCACTTTAGTTGAATTTGTCTAAACTGTTACATGACGGCAAGCCTGCATTCACGTGTGTGTGTGTGTCTGTCTGTGTAAGAGAGAGAGAGAGTGTGTGTGTGTGTGTGTGTGTGTGTGTGTGTGTGTGTACACACATGGCTTGGGGCTCTGGCAGAGAAAAATCTCTTACTCATGGAAGTAGGTCATAGCCTCCTGCTCAGTTAAGCAGTGAGGGATCGGAGTGAAGTGTTGAGTTGCAATGAAGTCCGATTAGGGACTCTCTAAAAAGTTACGCTGGAGGCTGAAAGCACTTGGGCTGGAAATGAGATATTAGGATTAGGGTATTATGAGGAGATATAGGCTGTTTTGAAGAAGATATTTTGACCATATAATAAGAACTGGCCTAGTAATTAGTAGATCCGCACAGATACACCTAAAGATTTTTTGCAGAATAATAGTGCCTGTCATTCAGTCCCAGTTTCTGCTTTCAAGTTCTACACATCATCTCGTTTTTCCTTATTTATTTGCATTTTAAATACATGTTGTTCAACAGAAAATTTTAATATTTTTGGTCTTTATGATTCAGCTACCAGTTAGAGTGTAGTAGAGGTGACTGAGGGCAGTTATTTAATCAAAAACAGATTTTGAAAGTCAGATTTTTGTCTTCTGCTGCCTGAATATCTGTTGTCTTGAATCCATAGTAATATCTATCTAATAACTTGGTTGTTGGTTAGACGTTAACATGAATGACAGATGCTAACACTGTTGCTGACAGCTACCATACCAGATTTTATCATGGCTTTAAAGTTTTGAGCAATTGTATCTCTGCTTACATTATGAAATAAAAATGTATAACTGAATTGAAAAAAAAAAATCTTTAAAATGTGCAAGAGAGAGAGAGAGAGAGAGTGTGTGTGTGTGTGTGTGTGTGTGTGTGTCAGTCACCTGGGACTGCCACTATTTTCCTCAGCTCCTGCTTCAGCTTCATAATGTCTTTGCAGAGCTGAATATCATCCATCCTGAGAAGAACATGAAAGAAAACCAGTCGCTCAGATTCCGCCATTCCAGAACTATGAATTTTAAAGAGGAAAATTGAGGAGAATCTCAGCGTTTCATTCTGAACACATGCAGTAAAGTGTGTGTGTGTGAGAGTGTGAGTGTGTGTGTGTTATCACGTGTCTTCATCGAGTCTCAGTGTGTGTGAATCAGTGTTTTGGTGTTTTTTATTGCATGTATGAAGTCAGTTCTGCTCAGGTTCACACAGGTGGAGATATTTAGTAATTCTGTTCATCTTTCTTGTGGCTATTATAAAGCTGATTATGACACAATATATTCTGATCTGACCCGCTATGATCTTAAAGAGGTCAGAGGTCATTGACATTAGGAACCATTGATTATGAATTCTAAACAGTCAATCACTTCCTCTATTTTGGGATAATTTTCATTCAGACAGCGATATGACATTCTAAAATTCAGTAATACATCCAGTAACAGAAACATCCGACTGTCTTTTTCTTCGTCAGCTCAACAGAGTCACAGATGTATGCATCCATGTACAAATGTTATGTTAAAAAAAAGAAAATAATATCGAGGTGGAACAAAATTGGAAAAATTAATTTGGTAAAAGAGTATGTCTTGATACTGTAGAAATAATATTGTTACTGCTTGCATGATAATATCAGTTGTGTCAACTGAAGGGTACGTGGAAATAAAACGACTGGGTTAAATAGTTCTGTAAAGGCAAAATAAAAGCGCTGTAATGTAAAGCTGAACTCTGTGCTGTGATTGGTCAGACACACAGCGGGTGTTTCTCCAACTTCAGGCACTTTAGTGTCTCAGAGGCTGAACTTCTTTTTTGTTATATAAAGGTCACTATTACATGTTCTCTGTTTGTTTGGACTTTTATGTTGTAGTTCTTGTTTCTTGGTTTCCTGTGTTGGGTTTTGTAGTCCTTTGTAGCTTTATTAATGATTCTTGTTATCTCGTTAGTCTGTCTGAATGATTAACCCTTGTGTTTCCCATGTTTGTTGGTCATCTGTACGTGTTCCGGTTGCCTGTGTTACCTGGTCCTTGTTTTGCTCTTCTTATTAAAAATCCCACATCTCCTGCTGCCATCCTTTGCTTCCCGTGTTACAGAACAACTGGCTGCACATGATCTATCGTCTTTCTCTGCCAGGATGATCGTTCCCTCGAGGACCACATTCGTGAGTTTCTCCTATCACACACACTTCCAATTCTCTGATCATTCTTTACTGCTCTGGACTCAAACCCAACTTTGCAGTGACGTCCTCGAGGGAACGAACTCTTCAGCAAAGCTTCCCAGTGGAAGAGGTCGGAGCCTGGTCCACAGAACTCACAGCCGGGCCGGTCCCGGTCTCTGGTGGTCTTGGAGGTCTGTCCATCATCAGCTGTGCTTGCTGATGTTTGTCTGCTACAGCTCTCTCTGTGCTCTCTGGCCCGGCTGCACTGTGGTGGTCTTCTGCTGCTCCTCATTGATCCTGACCCTTCGTGCTCTCCGCTCCATCTGCCTCCTGGACTCTTCTGTTTATTCAGCATCTGTGGCTCTGTTTCATGTTCCCTGGACTTTCAGTCACATTAAAACTATCCTGGACACTTTAAAGATCTTCCCGATTACTAGAAAGCTGAAGTCAGCTGAGTTTGATCAGGTTTGGAACTAAACTCTGAGCTGAGAAGCCTTGTTCTACAAAACTGATAATTTATTGTGAAATGTTTTCTCTCTGTCTCAAAATGTTTATTTAATACCACCATAAAGGGCAATATTTCCATTAATGCCACTAAAAGTTTTTAGTATTAATTTTACCAGAACAGCAACAGCGTTACTGAAGCGCTTGAGATGAAATGTGAGGCATGGGTTGTTTGAAGAAGCACATCAAAAATCATTTTATTACAAAATGTTGCACAAGTTCACCTGCTGGTATAATTCTTGGTTTAATAAATGTAATTACTATCCAAGACAGACAGATCAAAGCTTGACTTAATTATTACTAAAATTAGTAATAAAAGAATAGGAATATAATTTAACGGCTGAAAGAATTAAAAACCAGTATTGAAAGCTGTTTCAATACTTCAATGTATTATAACTGACAGGATAAGACTCCAGTTAACATGTCATTTCCACCACAGGATGCTATTAAACATTAACATATGTTGTATCATAAAAATGTCAAAATAAATAAATAAATCGTGTTCTGTCCACAGCTGGACATTGTCAGTGGACAGGTTAAATAAAGCAGTGAACATGTGAAAAGAGCTGAAGAAACACACAAGCATGCTTTAAATGAAAGGGTCACTTAAATAAATACACTGATGAGCCTCAAAAACACGAGAGCACAGCTGAATCATATCTGATAACATCAGTATCGCGTCTGATAACAACACTGCAATCATATCTAATAATAAGACTAATATCGCATTGACAATAATAGCATGTGTGATAACAACTGAAATCATATACGGCCTAATATCACGTCTGATAATAAGAGTGAACCCATATGCGATCATAAGACTAGTAAGATATCGGTCTGTCACCTTTGTCTCTGCTCCGGTTTGTCTCCTGCAGCGCGCCGTAGGTTTTCTTCATCCCTTCGCTTTCAGAAATGGCTTTCTTTAACTCCATAGCAAATGTTGATGTCACAGATCTCGGATTCCGTTGATTTTGTCGCGTTCTCGTCGCTGTAATCACGCTGATCTGCGCTCATCCGCGGAACCGAACAACATTATGACGGAATGAAGCTGCGTGACGTCACCGTGATGAGGGATGCAGGGCGCATGCGCACAAAGGATGAGAAAGCGATGATTAATCTGCATTTTATAGCCTACTGTTGCCTGAGTCTGACAGACAGTCGGATAGTTGTTTCTAAATATCTTAACCAGTGGCATAATAATAATCATACTAGTTGTTATTGATTAGTAAGCCTGTGAGTCTGATTGTTATTTTTGAGAACATGGCTTCATTTCAGACTCCGCGTTCAGAATCAGCTGCTTCGCTCGTGTGAACGGCTCCTTTAAATAAAATAAAGTTAAATAACTAAAGTTCATGGATGTTGCTTGAGTGAGAAAGTTGGAAAAAGGACAGCACTGCAGGATTTGGAAACCTCTATCCGACTGTCAGATTTAGACAACACTTCATATGCATATATGATTCGTTAATAAACTGATCACGAACCTTACAGTAAGTGATCATTTCACATTACTCATCAACAATAATCATTACTGTTACACAATTAACAGTACTAAAGTTAAATAAGTGTTGCGCTCAGTTTAGTTCATGACAACTGTCTGTTATATTCTAAAGTCCAACCCATTAAATAATCTGAAACAAATGCCTGGAAGTTATTTTTAACATGGTTTTATTCTGTTAACATATAATTTACAGTAAATACAGACTACAGTAATATTTCTCCCATATCTGTAGGTGATTCATTCATTTGAATTAAGAAAAAATTATGAAGATATTCAAGATATTTACAGTTTGCTAAAAAAGCACCAACCAATTAAATACATTTTAAATATTTTCATCCCACTGGAATTGCTGTAGCGTGCAAATCGAAAAAAAGTGCCTTAAGATGGATGAAAATAGATTACTAAAAGTAGAAAAATATATGTTTGAAACAAGAATTAGCTGCTTTATGCTCAAGTATATGGGAAATACTAGTATTAAAACAAACGCAAAACAGGTTGGCATAGATGTGTTTATAAGGTAGCTTGCAGGCAAAAACTAAGCATCAAATACAAAGTCAAACAGCTACAGAAATGTGGCACGTGAGCAGATTTCAGCAAACACTTAACTTAAGAAAACTCTCAGTGATCATTCATAGTTAATTGTGAAGGCTAAACCTGCCATACTTCCAGAGAGAATAACCCGTCAAACACACATACACTACATGCATTTATTAGCACAATAACTGTATTCATATCCCAGGAACTGTGTGAATGACTCAGAAACAAACAATACCAACATAACAGGAAGAATTAAATATGATTGATTTCTTAAAAAAAAAAAAAAGGCTTTAGTTTTTTTACAACAGCAAACTAAAAAAAAGAGGAAAACTGCATCTGCAGCAAGTACAGACTGGCCACAAATAATCTCAGGATGTTTTGCAAACGGGACAGTGTTTTAAACACTGGAGAAAACCCGAAACAGACTGAAGGAGTATAGAATAGAGATGTGAAGGAGCATCATTCAGCCCTGTCCTTTCCTGAGATCCTTTCCCAGTCCAGAGCCGTCTCCAGAAGCAGAGGAACGGGGCCCAGATGAAGATGATCAGCGGAGGAACCAGAGCCAAGTTCAGGAACTGTGTGTCATGAGAACAAACCGTCGCTTCATTCAGATCACAGACAACAGCCAACATCTGCACGCGTGTCATGTGCTGCTGCTGAGATTGACCTGCACGCCAGTCCCGTCTGCACAAAGAAACAAACACAAGACTGAAATCTGATGGATGTGACTGAGGCTGTGCTGCTGCCTCATAAATCTGAGATTTTCCAGTACGACAGGAGCCCTAGATCTGTTCAGTCTGTGAACATCAGCTCAGACTCACCTTTACTTCTCCCTCCAGTGCTGCAGAATCTGCTCTCTGCCCTGCATGAAGCTCACACCTGCGCTCGTCTCATCAGTCAAACAGAGACTCACCTGAGCTCACCTGTGTAACGTTAGGAGGCGCTGATGGCGAGCGTTACCGGGGCTACCAGAGTTGCCATGAAAACTGAACGCGACCACGGCGACATTTCTCGTGTGAGTCCAGTCCACTCGTTCTTTACGCGACAAGCGCTGGTGGACGAGATCTCCGCCCGCGTCACGGGAAGCGTCTGGCGGGCGTTAACAGCGCGTCGCGCATCTCAGCTGTCCTATCAGGCCCTTCATGAGCGGCTGATGCTCACGACAACGATCCGCGAACAGTTCAAAATGATATATGCATCGATTCTCAACGCTGCTACATGACCCGTGTATTCCTATGATCACTGTTCTGTCGGTGTGACGCGCATGCGCAGACGCAGATCCTCCCAATCGCCCCGCCCACTGAACGGAGGGTCCGAGCGCTCGTGCTCCGCGCATCTGAACGAGGATTTCAACAAAGAAAGACTGAACGTCCAAACGAATAAACACTTAACATTGCAGAAAGGCTGGACTTTATCGTGACCCACTAGTTTCTTAGCATGAGATCAGAGAGTATTTTTATTTCGAACTTTCTACTGCTATATTACAATTTACTTTACACTTTACTTTATATTACACTTTACATCGCCTCCTGATGTTTTTGTTTCAAGAAATAAATAAGTAGAAAGCAAGCACATGCGTTTGTTCTTCTTTTTGAGTCATTCTGTTTCAGCAAGTTTCTGAAAACTTCTTACAAATGATTTTCTATTAGTGTAATAAAGGTGTATTAATGTAATAATTAAAACTGTTATAGTCACATGTCTATAGAAGCTCATTCAGAACCTGAGATCATTGTGTTCTTATTCCTGCAGTCACTAGAGTACTTTTACTAGCTATTAATTTATTTGCATTTGACCGTTTCTGTACATATTTGATCATGTCTGGAATACAAATGAAAAGGACATTGACTCAGCTGTACATTAACTTCTTTATATTCAGCGACGTTTTCAAATAAACCCTATTTCTGTCTTAATGTGCGACGTTTGGTGTTTTCTGCTGAATATTTGCACGTATGAATCGCGTTCTGATGAAATATTTCTGAACTCTGTCGGCTGCACGACCTGTGTCCCGTCATGCCCCGGTGCATTGTGGTCGCTGTCAGGGGCGCATGCGCACAGCGGAGTTCCATCTTTCCATCCCGAGCGCAGAAGAGCAGCGGATGTGTTGATGCTTTTGGCCGTTTTGTTTTGATTTTTAAACGCTCAGAGTCGCTGCGAAACAAACCCGAGCGGACGCGTCCTCCGTTATTATCCTCCCGGGAGCTTCCAGCCGACAGAAATGCGGCGTGTGGCGGGTGTTATGAGGTAGATCGAGTCGCTGCTGCTGCGCTTCGGCCGCGGAGACACATCTGAGAGAATCCGCTGCAGGAGAGTTCCGGCCCGCGCGAGCAGGTACGTGCTGAGCTTGTGTGCGCCCGAGTGTGTTTGTTGCGCGTGTGTTGTTTAGGTTAGCAGTTAGCTGTGTGTGTGTGTCTCTCTCCCTCTCTCTCTCTCTCTCTCTCTCTGTGTGTGTGTGTGTGTGTGTGTGTGTGTGTGCGTGCGCTGGGATTCACCCGCAGCCATAATGAGCCCAGAGCTTCATCCTGAACCGAACCGAGCCTCGCTTTAGCGGCGGATCAGCAGCTCGTTTATCTGCTCTGGGTTTGTGTTGGCGTTATGAAATGCAGAAATGAGTGATTGTGAACGTGATAGAGCTGATGTCTGTCACCATACACACGAACACTCGAGTGTGAGCAGCACATTTATCTGACACTTACGGTTTGACCAGTTTGATCAATCATCTTCTGGAGTGATCAGATCAGAAACTCACATTATTG